GAATGACTGTAGAAATGTTACAGTTTTCATATTATTTATGTAATATCAAGTATGAGAATTTGGGATGTTACATCACCATGGTTGCAGAATTAAGCATTGAATTGCTTGTTACGATCTCTCTCCGTGCCCTGGTATGCTTCATGATGGAGCTAATTTCTCGTTGTTGTGAGATATCGGAATATTTATTTGATATTTCATTTATATTCTTTTTCTGTTCTATTATAATTGTTTGAGTGAATTGTTGTGGGTTAATTATTAGGTTGTATTTTCTAGATTATGGTATTGGCAGGTTTTATTTTATGTAGACATGAGAATACCCTATTTGATCTGGTAATTAATTGTATAAATAGTTATGGCCGTTTAAATCTGACAATAAATCATATATTTATTTAACTTTTAGATGTTATTACATAGTAAATATTGTTGTAATTAGTAGTGTTTTTTAACTGTAAGTTTATGCTTATTAATTTTTAACAAAAATATCAACAATCATTAAAAATAGTTGAAAATAGATTTTGATACGCGTATTTCTGGCAATTGTTTTAATAGCTAAAACTAAAACTTGTGTCAATTTTTAGTTGTCACAAATTACAATTTGAACCGAAAATAAAGACAAATTTAATTGTTTGTTAGCTATTTTTGATGAATGATATTAGTTAAATAAGTCTTGTAGTAAAGATTAATACGTTAAAAAAGAAATAAAAGAAGTTAATTTAGTATTTAATATTTCTAGAAGCAATGTAAAAAGTAATAGATGTATTTATAAATTTTAAATGTTGGTGAAGTTATTGTTTGTATATAAAAACAAGTGGATACGGTCATAATTTTTAAATATTTGAGAAATTAATGTATACATATGTGAAGGTTGTTCCACCAACATTTTGTGTATAAATATGATATCTAGTATGATATATTTTCACACAGCTAGTCTTGTTAAATTGTTGTATCTCTCAGTTATAGTCATTCTCATTATCACCTGAACTTTTACTAAATTCAACACCATGGAAGCAATATTGCAATTGCAACCTCTCCTTAATATTAAATCTATATACTATCTTTCCCCGAAACCTATTATCTTTCTTCATCAAAATTTTCGTCCCCTAACAAGATCTCGAGTGACTTTTTGTTCTTCCTCTCCTACTCCAGTTTCTACTGGGTACTTTTGATTTCAATTTTTTAATGTTTTTTTAGTAAAATTGATTTAAACTTTCTTCATACATTCATTGTGACTTTCAAAAGGGTATATGGTAAATTCATATTTTTTTGCTTTTATTCTCTATTTACATGTGATAACTAATTTTAATTTACTCATTTAAATAATTTTTTATATATTGTCATTTGTTATTCCCTTGTATTTTCGGATAAATATATAAATGACACTATTTAATAATGAGATTTGATGGTATTTTAGAAATTCATTTGTTATTCACTTGTATTGTTTATATTTAACATAAAGGAGGTACTATAAAGAGTGGAGGGAATTAGAAAGATAGAACATCTATTTTTGTTTTATTATTTTTTGTATGAATTTCTTAGTGAGGTGTCATGCACATTATTGATCAACTTGTACACAGAAACTCTTTGATTCAGCAGGAGGATACCATAACATTCAGTGGGAAGATACAAGAGTGAGGATTTCTATCTTATTTCATGTTATGTAAGATCAAAATTTATTTAATTTGTTCCACTTGTATTTTGACTAATCTACCTTCCATTTTTCTGTGTACTTATTCCTAGGTTCTGCATCACTGTGCTGATTCCATCAATATAAATAATAAGATTTTGGAGTAACTATTTTGAGAAAATCGTCCCAGAAATGGCAAAAGCAAAAAATAACGATGAGTGTGGATCTATTGCTGTTTGTGACATTCTTTGCTTACAGGTACAGTTAAGATTCATGGGTAATGTTAAGATTCAATACTCGTTTTCAAGCTATAGTGCTCACAAACTTCAATTCTATACCATAAAAAGGTGTTTTTATGAGGTGAAAATACATGAAAATTTTGTTATTGGCACATTTCGAGTACATGTCCAACATGTCCTATATAGAGCTCTTTTGGACTTAAAACATTGATTATTTTGGTCTGAAATCAACATTTTATTAGAAAAACATGACAAGTAGGAAAGAACTATATATCTCTTGATCAGAGCTACTCTAATACTATGTGATGAAATAATTCTACTAGAATTCTGCAACCTTAGGAGTTCTTTTTTCATAGTTTGATACAAATATAGAGCATTTGTTCTAATGCTTCATAACCATTGCAGGCTCTCTCAAAGAGAATTCACTATGGCAAATTTGTTGCTGAGGCAAAGTTTCAAGAAGCCCCTTCTAAATATGAAGCTGCAATTAAAGCAAAAGTAAACTTTTGCATAATTAATTAATCATATTTTCTGTTGTGATTCTTAATATGTCCAAGTTATTTAATTTTCTGATGTTATACTATTTTGGACCTCTTTCAGGACAGGAAACTACTGTTGGAATTGCTGACAGATAAAACTGTGGAGGCGATAGCATTTGGTCAAGTGGTGCAGATTGATGAAGCATACAATGTAACCAATCCTACCTATAAAATTAAGCCAAGTTTTATTGCAAATCTCTTTGAAGAATGGGTTATGCCTCTCACTAAAGAGGTGCAAGTGGAGTACTTGTTGAGAAGACTTGACTAAACAATGAGATGGTGACCCTATACAAAATGCATAGTGTTTTTTACTTAATGTATGGATTATACGTTTATCTAAGTTTTTTTTTTACTAAACAAGGATATACTCCAACCAGCCATTCCATCATGCAATTGATGATATAAGTAAATATTGTTTGCATCTTTTTTATCACATATTTTTTACAAATTGTATTTGTTTAGTCAAAACTAGTTGTGTTATAGATAATACTAGTTAGAAGTAACTATTGTCCAAACAATACTTTGTTTTAGTTGAAAATTATTTGTAAAACACTAAATTGAAATTTCATGAAGTCTCAAATCAACCTTTTTGGCTTTTTTGCACTTTGATAGGTTGCAATTATAAATCTCTTTTTTTTAATTTTTTTTTCATCTCTTCCTATTGTTTGATTTTTATGTTAAGTATTGACATTTATGTTTAAAAAAAATTCTTACTTTCACTAATGGTCTAAGTCTCAAACTAATTTATTAAGTGATGAGAAGTTTAAAAATTCTTAATTACAAATTGTCACATATATAGATATGTAGACCTAGATTATAATGAATTTATCTTGACCTCTTATTCTTCAGTTATATTGTAAATCTATTAGATGTTAGTATCTGGTGAGAATATTTCATACGAGTCTTTGGAAAACTATTAGTCAATATTTTTGTTTGTTGAATATCTGTATATATTCATTTGTGGTCTTTGTGATTTTTTGTATTAGTGTTTCAATGGTATTAAATTACTTTTGGGTTGTTAATCATAAGTTTTCTATTATATATGTGTGATATATATATATATATATATATATATATATATATATATATATATATATATATATATATATATATATATATATATATATATATATATATATATATATATATATATATATATATATATATATATATATATATATATATATATATATATATATATATATATATATATATATATATATATATATATATATATATATATATATATATATATATATATATATATATATATATATATATATATATATATATATATATATATATATATATATATATATATATATATATATATATATATATATATATATATATATATATATATATATATATATATATATATATATATATATATATATATATATATATATATATATATATATATATATATATATATATATATATATATATATATATATATATATATATATATATATATATATATATATATATATATATATATATATATATATATATATATATATATATATATATATATATATATATATATATATATATATATATATATATATATATATATATATATATATATATATATATATATATATATATATATATATATATATATATATATATATATATATATATATATATATATATATATATATATATATATATATATATATATATATATATATATATATATATATATATATATATATATATATATATATATATATATATATATATATATATATATATATATATATATATATATATATATATATATATATATATATATATATATATATATATATATATATATATATATATATATATATATATATATATATATATATATATATATATATATATATATATATATATATATATATATATATATATATATATATATATATATATATATATATATATATATATATATATATATATATATATATATATATATATATATATATATATATATATATATATATATATATATATATATATATATATATATATATATATATATATATATATATATATATATATATATATATATATATATATATATATATATATATATATATATATATATATATATATATATATATATATATATATATATATATATATATATATATATATATATATATATATATATATATATATATATATATATATATATATATATATATATATATATATATATATATATATATATATATATATATATATATATATATATATATATATATATATATATATATATATATATATATATATATATATATATATATATATATATATATATATATATATATATATATATATATATATATATATATATATATATATATATATATATATATATATATATATATATATATATATATATATATATATATATATATATATATATATATATATATATATATATATATATATATATATATATATATATATATATATATATATATATATATATATATATATATATATATATATATATATATATATATATATATATATATATATATATATATATATATATATATATATATATATATATATATATATATATATATATATATATATATATATATATATATATATATATATATATATATATATATATATATATATATATATATATATATATATATATATATATATATATATATATATATATATATATATATATATATATATATATATATATATATATATATATATATATATATATATATATATATATATATATATATATATATATATATATATATATATATATATATATATATATATATATATATATATATATATATATATATATATATATATATATATATATATATATATATATATATATATATATATATATATATATATATATATATATATATATATATATATATATATATATATATATATATATATATATATATATATATATATATATATATATATATATATATATATATATATATATATATATATATATATATATATATATATATATATATATATATATATATATATATATATATATATATATATATATATATATATATATATATATATATATATATATATATATATATATATATATATATATATATATATATATATATATATATATATATATATATATATATATATATATATATATATATATATATATATATATATATATATATATATATATATATATATATATATATATATATATATATATATATATATATATATATATATATATATATATATATATATATATATATATATATATATATATATATATATATATATATATATATATATATATATATATATATATATATATATATATATATATATATATATATATATATATATATATATATATATATATATATATATATATATATATATATATATATATATATATATATATATATATATATATATATATATATATATATATATATATATATATATATATATATATATATATATATATATATATATATATATATATATATATATATATATATATATATATATATATATATATATATATATATATATATATATATATATATATATATATATATATATATATATATATATATATATATATATATATATATATATATATATATATATATATATATATATATATATATATATATATATATATATATATATATATATATATATATATATATATATATATATATATATATATATATATATATATATATATATATATATATATATATATATATATATATATATATATATATATATATATATATATATATATATATATATATATATATATATATATATATATATATATATATATATATATATATATATATATATATATATATATATATATATATATATATATATATATATATATATATATATATATATATATATATATATATATATATATATATATATATATATATATATATATATATATATATATATATATATATATATATATATATATATATATATATATATATATATATATATATATATATATATATATATATATATATATATATATATATATATATATATATATATATATATATATATATATATATATATATATATATATATATATATATATATATATATATATATATATATATATATATATATATATATATATATATATATATATATATATATATATATATATATATATATATATATATATATATATATATATATATATATATATATATATATATATATATATATATATATATATATATATATATATATATATATATATATATATATATATATATATATATATATATATATATATATATATATATATATATATATATATATATATATATATATATATATATATATATATATATATATATATATATATATATATATATATATATATATATATATATATATATATATATATATATATATATATATATATATATATATATATATATATATATATATATATATATATATATATATATATATATATATATATATATATATATATATATATATATATATATATATATATATATATATATATATATATATATATATATATATATATATATATATATATATATATATATATATATATATATATATATATATATATATATATATATATATATATATATATATATATATATATATATATATATATATATATATATATATATATATATATATATATATATATATATATATATATATATATATATATATATATATATATATATATATATATATATATATATATATATATATATATATATATATATATATATATATATATATATATATATATATATATATATATATATATATATATATATATATATATATATATATATATATATATATATATATATATATATATATATATATATATATATATATATATATATATATATATATATATATATATATATATATATATATATATATATATATATATATATATATATATATATATATATATATATATATATATATATATATATATATATATATATATATATATATATATATATATATATATATATATATATATATATATATATATATATATATATATATATATATATATATATATATATATATATATATATATATATATATATATATATATATATATATATATATATATATATATATATATATATATATATATATATATATATATATATATATATATATATATATATATATATATATATATATATATATATA